CTAGGCTAATCCTCCGCCATGCGGCGCCAGCACACCGGGTTCTAGTCCCGGTCGGGGTGCCGGATTCTGTCCCGGTTGCTCCTCTTCCAGGCCAGCTCTCTGCTGTGGCCTGGGAGTGCAGTGGAGGATGGCCCAAGTGCTTGGGCCCTGCACCCCATGGGAGACCAGGATAATTACCTGGCTCCTACCATCGGATCAGCACGGTGCGCCGGCTGCAGTGCGCCGGCCGCAGTGCGCCGGCCGCAGTGCGCCGGCCGCGGCGGCCATTGGAGGGTGAACCAACAGCAAAGGAAGACCTTTCTCTCTGTCTCTCTCTCTCACTGTCCACTCTGCCTGTCAAAAAATTAAAAAAATAAATAAATAAATAAAATTTAAAAAATTTGTATTTATCTATTTATTTGAGAGGCATTGACAGAGAGCTCTCACCCACTGGTTCACTCTCCAAATTCCCACAATTTGGGGCGGAGCCAGCCAAAGCTAGGAGGCAGGAACTCAAGGTGGGTCTCCTGTGGTAGTGCAGGGGCCCCCATGGGAGTGGCGGGGACGTTGGTGCTGGAGCCGTCACTGCTGCCTCCAGGTGCGTGTTCACAGGAAGCTGCAATCAAGAACAGAACCAGGACTTGGAACTCGGCACTCCAGTGTGGGGTGCTGGTGTCCACAGCAGTGTCTCAACTGCTAGGCTAAACACCTGTTCTTGCTAACGTGTGGGTGTATTTGTATTTATGTTTACATTTCAGATTTATTTATTTGAAAGGTAGAGTGTGAGAGCGAGGGAGATGTTCTTCTGTCTGCTGGTTCACTCCCCAAATGGCTTAAATGAGCAGGTCTGCACCAGGCAGAAGCTGAGAGCCTGGAACTCCATCCAGATCTCCTATGTGGGTGGCAGGGCCCCAAGCACTTGGGCCATCTTCACTGGTTTCCCAGGCATGTTAACAGGGAGCTGGATTGGAAGTAGAGCAGCAGTGACTCAAACCGGTATTCATTTGTGATGCTGGTGTCGAAGGCATGTATTTTCAGTCAAGTGTACAGTCTTGTTTTTGTGGGATGTCTTGGTCCTGCTTCCTTTGCGAGTTGAGTTCAGACTTACTATCTTAGTGATGCCAGAATGGTTTCTCAGTGATGTCAGAATGGGGATGCACTGCAGACGCTGAGAGGAGTTTTCTGCTGAAGAGGCGGGGAGAAGACTGCCCCCGTGGGGTGTTGTTAGACGCGTCTCCCCTGGCTGCACAGGGACGCATAAAGGAAGATCAGACGCGCCCCATCCCTGTTCTTCCTGGTAGAGAGTCTGTCTTCGACTTAGATTTTTTCACTTTGAAATATTCTTTATATTTCTCTCCCGTACTAAAACATTAAGTGTATTTACTGACCCCTGATAGAACCCTAAAGGGCCTGCAGGTTTAGAAAGCATGAAATCCTTACCTGGTTTTAGCTTTTTTGCTCATTTTGTCCTCTCCAATTTAACTGAAATACTAGATAAAGTTTGACTTTTACCTTGTATTTTTAAGTCTGCTTTTAAGGTTTGTGCTTTCTAGAAATATCTTGGTTTTGATTGACAATTCATCATGCCTTGTAATAGCATTTCTATTTAATGGTACAAAGTACATTTTGCCAGTTGTCCTGCTTATATGGAGTTGTGTGTGCTTCTCAAAACCTTTCGTTATGTATGATCACTGTAAGACCTTAGTGAAACCGCGTCTTTTTATTATCTACGTTAATATCTAGCTTACCGATGATGACGCCGTGAGCATCGTCTCTTCTGATCGTGCCAGTCATGGGCGAAGGGAAAGTGTGGTGAGCGTGGTTTGCATGCAGTCAAATAGCATGAGTTCTGAAACAACAGTGTGTGATCACATGAAATCTGTTAGAAAGTGAAAAATCACATTTTACAAAATGGGCATTTCCCTAAAATTTAGATGATTAATTTGCCTCATAAAATGTGTCCTTGAGAATACACACTTTCTGTGGGCTGTTCAAGTTATCATTAATAATTTGTCACATCTCTTGCTGAAAACTTTTCAGTTTTTAGTCTTTGTTGCGGTTTTATGTCCATTATGGGTTTGTGTGTACAGTTCACCACAAACAAGTCTTTTAAGCAAAATGAATGCTTTCACACTACACAGAACATGTGTCTATGGATTACAAATCATGTTGCTGTCAATTGCTTTCTTTACTAGTATGTTTAAGTTTAACCAATGTTTTTCTGTGTGTCAAATGTGTGTTTAACAGTACTAATGGCAAAACAAAGAGTTCTACTCTGAATTCTTTGACTAGGTAATAATTATAGAGCCATATTAGAGTACAAATGATATAATTTCAGGTTATTCTTTCTTGAAGCGAGAAATCCCAGAGAGCTGGTGATACATTTGTAATATTTAAGAAATTGGTTTGGAGGCCGGCGCCGCGGCTCACTAGGCTAATCCTCCGCCT